TTCATCCCCCTAACTATGGATTGTCTATTGAGGGCTCTGATTTGGAATGAATTTGAGATCAACAGGTTTTTTATTTCCAAACAACAATAGTTTGTTTATGCAAGATGCCTGCTTTTGTCCTATACCTATCTCGTACCTTGTGTCTGGGCTTTAACCTAATGAATTGTAAATCTCTTTTAACAATAATAATGCTCCTCGCCCAAGAGATTCCGTATTATCCCAGACGCTGGATGACCTTCGCGGTCTGATATATGGCACAATATTTCCTTGTCATGATTCTCTGCCCAGTTCGAGTAATCACGTGATGGTCACATTTATCTTTCCCCAGTGGCGTTGGTAACAATGCGTCCCTTGTGCTGATGCTGGCAGACACAGAATTAACGGAAGGCGTAGCGCTGGGGAGACCACGGTGGCTTCTCGAAGAAGCCCAAACTGGAGTTGTTATAATAGTAAAACTGTGCGAGTTAACTGGATAAGGACATGTCACATGAACTTGTCACTACCAAATTATTCAGATATTGTTCAAGACCTGTTTTGTTTGCTGATATGCTATCTGACCTGTGCCTGATATATTATCAGGCATATTTTATATCTTTTACAAGTTATTTATAATGTGTATCCTGTGTACTTGAGAAAAACTCACACAGAAATAAGTCCGGCACGTTTGAATACGTGATTAGAGAGTGCATAAGACGAATTCAGCTGGGAAATCTCTTTGCGTGGTGTGTGCATTTGATCCGGCGTCTACCGGTTTGAGGTGGTTTGATACAATCAGGACCCGACGATTAATGTCGCTTCTCCTTGCTCGCCTCCCTGGCCTGCATGAAATAATATCGGAGAGCTGAGATAATTTGCATATCACATAATGAATGGGGAAAAACATATATCCTGACTATTGACCGAGATCTACGTTCTATGAAAGGCGGCTCTGCTCACAGAAATAAATGGGAACTTCACCCCTGTGAAGACATGTTTGGCGAGCCTGTCTCCCGTTCCGTCCTACATTCTCCGCAGCTGTCGGCATCTGCAGCATTGCCGTGAGGCCAGCTTCTAGCTAATTACATAACGTTGTTGACTCGCATATTCATGAATATGAAAACCCGTCGGACGCCTAATTCGCATTGCTCGGCATTAATATTCGCCTACTGCGTTTGATTCGACTGAGCAGGTCGGTCCCACGGCCGCATTGGAGATGACAGGCGAGCTCCCGAATTTTCGGCTGATGGACTTAGCTGCAGCGTTGGCCGCTGGAGGACCGCGTGAGGACGGAATAAGCAGCCTGATACGAATGCATCAGACGAAATAGCTCAGACGACTTGTCCACTACAGGAGCTCCACCCAAGGATCTCACATGTTCCACATCTACGTAATGTCTTGCGAAGTGCTTCCCTCTTTTTGTTTCTAACTCGTAATTGGTTAAGGACTTAGCGGGGATAATCTACAGCGACGTCCGTTTTTCCACAGCCACCTAACTTTCGGGCTGCGTTTTTTCGTATACCGGCTGCACATCGATTCTGCTTTGGACGAAGTATTGCAGCCGGCGGCGGTTGATGCTGGAGGGAGCTCCAGAAACAAAGAACCAGACCGCACAGCCCCTAGGGAATAGTCAAGGTCTCAATTAGCCTCTAACGGTCGCCTGTGGAGCGATGAATGGACTGTTTCAGCCTGGAGTCGAATACTAAATGACTTGAAAAACTGTCTTGTCTCAGCGTCAGTTTTAAGCTATAAACTTTGGAACTTATATCATGGATGTGATTGGTTTGCTGTGAATGACACTCTTTGTGCAGCCACTGTTCCGAAGTTATAAAAGAAAGTTGATACGGGCATTATTATTGCTACGCAAATTTGGGAGAGGTGGGAATGAAAATATCTTAGCTGAGCTTTCAAGCTTACAAGATCATAGTTCTTTCTTAACATGAAAGAGAGAGAAAGAGAGAGAGAGAGAGAGAGGGATAGAGAGAGAGAGAGAAAGAGAGAAAGAGAGGGAGGGAGAGAGAGAGAAAGAGAGAGAGAGAGAGAGAGAGAGAGAGAGAGAGAGAGAGAGAGAGAGAGAGAGAGGGAGAGAGAGTCATGCAGTACCACATTTCTGTCAGCATGTTGTGACCTCCTCCAGCACGACTGTCTGAATCTTTCGTTCGTTCGTTCATTAGGGTTTACGGGCGCGTCGATGTCTGAATCTTTGACTTCGTACGAACACAACCATCAAACGCCACTACACATAACAACTATCACAGCATATATGTAGTTACCAAACCTCCTAACGTAATATCGTCCAGTTATATCATCACAACCTTGCCTGTTGTGGCTTTCTATTAAGTTCCACACTACGCACACTTCCTGAGAATGTTTAGCATAGTTCTTACTACTTTCTCTTTGTTTCCAGGTAAGAACCGGACCAGCTCCTGGGCTGCGCTGAGTGTTCACGGCGACCGCGCCCTTCCACAGACTACGAGTTGGTCCGGGCATCAGCCATCGGGCAAGTACGAACGATACCGGGAGTGTGTGGGAAATTTTATTCTCCAGTGATGTAGACCTTAAAAAGTGTGGTCGTCTGTCTCTTACGGACCAGTATTAGAAACTTAAAAAATCTGGTGGTTTTCTGACTTGGCAGGGAATGCAAATGCAGCTAGTTGGTAAAACGAGCTACATACGACTAACTGATGATGAACACTCTGGGATTGTCATTAGGTTCGGCGTATATTAGTGCGGGCTATGGTGCTGGTAAAACTTTTCAGCTCTAATATCCTTAGCTTCACAAGTTGGAGGTCTGCTCAAACTCGCAAAATTCTATCTGTGCCAGTGAAGCAGAAGCTGTAAGGGGCTTGGGCATGGCTTACAGCAACTTGAGTCTCTCAGGTAGGTACTCTTCTTTAGCAGACTGAAGCTTCGAGCGACAAGCTGTACTTCGCCGTAGGAGTAGCCTTCCCATGCCTTCGACTGCTCCCGAGCGCTTCCGCCGTATTAGTTTTGATGACAAGCGGACATTTCTCCTGGGGCAAAAGGCAATTTTGGAGGACATTGAAACGAACTTACTATCTCATTTGAGAGACCCTGGTGAGACGCCCTGGGCCGTCACCAGCTGCTTGGATATATAGTCGCGCTGCACACTCTGGACACTGAAGCTAGATTAATTACGCTTATTATATTTCGATTTTTAAAAGCACCGCCTGCGCCGTGACTCCAGTGGCTAGTGGAAGCCGATTTTCTGGGTAACCCGCCTTGTTCATGGGATTGCGCTGGTCAGTTATTTGGAGCCTGGAAGCCGGACAGATCCAGTCTCAGCTTAATTAGGTGACATCAGGCCTAGGCAGCCTACATTGTCCGCTTCAACCACAGCCATTGCCACTGGTACTCGTATTGTGCCTCTCTCAATTTCATTGAAGTTCACCCTAGACCTGACAATTTTAAAGTCATGTTCGTTATTTTTTTAACGAGTCTTCAATAGTAAAATGTCACTACGAATCACTGGCGTTCATGATGATATTTATTCACTTTCGATGATAACACAAAAGCAAATATTCTAAATAGCCAGACGTTTCGGCCTCAGGGTGCCTTCGTCAGTGACAATACCGAGATACTAATACATTAATAAATTAATCAATATAATCTTTTACACTTTCAAAATACACATGACCTGGACATTTTTCAACCATTCTCAACAGAATGGAACCATTCAAAATACACATGACCTGGACATTTTTCAACCATTCTCAACAGAATGGAACCATTCAACAGAATTCTCAACAGAATGGAACCATTCGACAGAATTCTCAACAGAATGGAACCATTCAACAGAATGGTTGAAAAATGTCCAGGTCATGTGTATTTTGAAAGTGTAAAAGATTATATTGATTAATTTATTAATGTATTAGTATCTCGGTATTGTCACTGACGAAGGCACCCTGAGGCCGAAACGTCTGGCTATTTAGAATATTTGCTTTTGTGTTATCATCGAAAGTGAATAAATATCACAATGTCTGACACGATACTGGCGTTCATATATGTAGGCACAAATCATCACTTTTATTGATAAATCATTCCATACGGCCTACTATCTACTTTTATCACGAATGACATTTCCGCTGCTCATTTCACTTTAGCAAGCTCGCTCCAGGACTCTATCAATGACTTTATTTCCTGTCGACGCTTATTGTCATGTTATGGGTGACGATGCCAGAGCCCACCAGGACCAATTGCCGCCGCAACTCATATGGGGCCAATTACCAGTCAGCCGTCGCCAACTCCCCGAGGGCACAGCTGATTTTCGAACAGCTTGACGTCCGCTGTTAATCGATTTACGACAATTAAATGCGGCGGCGCCTCTCGTCCGGGCAGGCTGGGTGGTGATGGCGCTCGGTCGTTGGGATCGTTATTCCACGACAGACCGATCGCTGATTAGGGCCAATGTCGGGTCGGCATGACCGTGAACCGGCGAGGGGAGGTGGGCTGGGGAGGGGTCGACAGCGCGATGGGTTGAAGTGGGGAGGTTCAGGTGGAAGGGAAGAAGCTAATCTTCGTCGATGCGCCGTTAATCGTTCCTCACCTGTCGAACTGCTCACGGATGACGCTGTGCAGAAGTGTGAACTTGACTTCTATATATACTATAGTGTATACAGTATATGTACTATAGTGTGAGCCCGACAATCTGTACAGATGCCCGCATGATAATTTAACAAAGATGACAGTTCATGAATGTGCCATTGACTTTGCTATTTCTAACCCATGGAGTATTGTTTTCCGTAGTAGCATTTTGAATCGTTTTAAGATTCACTGAGTCAATCTTAAGAATCGGGATCTTTCCTTGAATCTGGGACGCTATTAGAAGGCGTAGGCGTATGTTCCAAATATGCTACGCTATACTAGGCTACTCACTTTATCTATGTAGCACACAGATACAGCAATCGTCATTTCATCAAAAGTTTCTCTTAACAAAATAGTTTTTAGTCTTATGCTCTTGAGAAACATGGTAGGCACAAAGTGTCCTTTGGTGTAGCCAGATCAAGGCATTGCAATTAAACAATGCCAGTGGTTCAATAGTCATTAGTCAATGATGTTCTGCCACGTTATCACTAGGCTTTTAAGAATTGCTCCATTTCTCATTTAATAATAATTTCATTTATTAATCATTTTCTGTCAAAAACAAAGCCTTGCAGTGTCTTTCATGCTCACCAAAGTACACCTACTTTATGAAATTGCAGCACTATTGACACTTCGATAGAATCCCAGTTCCGCGTAAGCAAACGAGTCAGCTGTCTGTGACAGTCACTTCTAGCGTTCGCAGAAGACTCAATGTTCCCAACAGCATTATAATTTGCCAGTCTTTGTTGACAGAACCTCTATTATGTTAGCGGTGCAGCGAGTCGCCTTTGGAGGCCTCTGCGGCCGACAGCCGGACCACAGGAAGCCCGCACAGCCCACCATTGGCGTGTCATTGCCATGTATCGCTGATTGAAATCACTGTGCCGGAGACAGCTTTGTAATCGAGCCCGCACATCAATGGCGCTGTCAAGATGGGCCTGCCGGGCTAAGCCTATTCAGAAGCTGACAGGCTGCATTGATTTCATGGATGAGGACGTCAGGATATCAGTGCACGAGGTCTGTTCATCCGCTGGGGAAGTGGGGACAGCACTGAGATACTTTCCTGTGACCTGTCAGGACACATGGCCAAACACCGACTGCTGGGTATCGTATCAGGGTGGACCATTTTCCAGTACGCTTTTCACGGAAGTTCTTTAATGTTTTCCAGTTGGATGCTTATGTAACATACGCTTGATAGCCAGACCCTATCAATTAACATAAAAAGTCAGGTTCTCATATACATGTTCTCATGTACCTTATATAAATGTACTCAATCTGGTTGGCATTCGATTAGAAAAGCCTTTCACTTGGCTATGCCTTTCACTTGGTGAATTCACTTGCATGAGAAGCTTTTAGTGAAAGGTGGCGTTTTTATGTTGAATTCCACCCACTCGTATGGATCCGTGTTCTATCGCGTTGCATTAGCTTCTCCTACAGGGGTTGCACTACACTAGCTCTCTATAGCCCTTCCATGGATTAGGTAAGAATACTTCATCCATGGCCCTTCTCGGCCGTTTCCGCCCGAGTTTGGCCTCCGCTCCCATGTGTCACACGAGAGGAGATCGGTCATCAGCGACCTCCGCGAGAGCGCCGGTCGAGCGGCTCCGCTGGGCCACGGACCGGCTATTCTGGGCCGTTTTAGCAGCCGCTCGACGTGTCGGGGTCTCGGCCTGAATGGGGAACCCATCAGCTACTGGCGAGCCGCGACGTGCGCCGTTCATAGCCGCGCGAACGCTGCCGGGCGCCGCTAGCCGCTCCATTCGGACGCTTCATGGCGCGGTGTGGGGCCGCCACCGCCGCCGCCGGTGTGAATTGGTGGGTGGTGTTAATCTGCCTGTGGCGTTAATTTGTTGCGGACGCTACTGAGTGCCACCATTTGCCAGTGCTGTGATTCACAGACCAGCTGCATTTGTTTGAATTAGAGTGCGTCGCGAGTTTACGGTGACATGTATCCCGGAGAGCCGCAATTATGAAAGAGTATATAACTCATGGAGCACAAATGCTATGCATGTTTAATGTCAATTAACTGAGTGGGGCCTACTCAATTACAGGTATACTTAGATATTAGACTTGGCCAAGGATTTATGGCAATATGTCATGCCTTTACTCGTATTTCAGTTTCTGGTGTATGTTTGTTTTGCCTTAGCATTTTACTGCCTACATAACTCGCATTAAATGCATGTATGCTTATCCCTTAGTGTTTAAAGAGCACAGGTATACATACCTATATTAAATACATGTTTGTGCCTCTTGATGCTGATATAGATTAGCAACATTCTCAAATTCTTAACTGTATTCTTTAGGTATTTCTGGTCATACGTGTTCAAAGTCTAAATACGTTTCCGTTACGAAAATAATCTCGACACATAAGTAGGGGAAAGTGGGGTAAGACGGTCAGGGTAGGTAAGACGGGCACCCCTTCTGCAGACCAAACCAATAGCGCTACGAGCAAGAAAAGTTAGGACCAGAATTGCCTTTCCCACTACACACCACCATTCAAGTCTGGTGAATTTGTGTTCAGTCGATAATCTTTTATTTTGATTTCTTTAAAACACTCATTTCATTGAAAACATCCATAATGTATTGTGCAAGCTTTTGTGTACAGCACTATAGAGTTAAAAACTCGCAATCACTTGTGGTACACTCATATGCCAACAGTGTTCATTTACGGCGGATTTGCTTTGTCTGCATCAAATTGTCCACAGCGAAAAATCGTGCTGAACTTCTGACATTGAGTTTGGGGTAAGACGGGCAACTATGAACCCAATGGGTCTGTAATGGTGAAAATATTTTTGTTGCTGTAGGAAAAAAGAAGCATTTCTAATAAGAATATGTTCGATTCCGATACTCACAGACATGTTAGCAATATTCCTTCGGCACAGTTTATTCTCGAATAATGAAT